CACGGCAAAACCTCGGCCCTTTGCTCGCCGCAAGGTCCAAGTGATTTTGGCCAGGCAAAGCCGTTGCTCGAGCCATAGAAGGCCCAAAAAAGGCTGGTCCCGCCACGCCCTTCCCCCATCTAGTTCTGCGGGCCAACGCGATGCGCGGCGGCTAGGACCGACCGCTGCCAGCCTTTAACGTCGCCTTTGGAGCCCTATAGAGAAATAGATTATCCCGGCAAAACCCCAAACAGTGCTGTAAGCAGAAAGTCTAGACGCAGTGGGGTCCAGAGAAGTGATGGTGGTGATGAAGTGAATGTGGGTGTGAGTGAGTGTGGGTGGGAGGGAGTGTGAGTGTGAGTGAGAGTGGGAGAGTGAGTGTGAGTGCGAGTGTGAGTGAGAGTGAGTGTGGGTGAGAGTGAGAGTGAGAGTGAGTGTGAGCGTGAGTGTAAGTTGAACACGGCGTACAAGCGCTAACTTTAGCTGGTTTTTCGGTGCGCAGCCCGGTGTTTGATGTGGTGCGCAGGGTGGCGCGCAGCCTGGTGCTTGGAGTGGTGCGCGCGCACCACTCTGCGCGCCACTTTGCGCACCGCTTCAAACACCGCTCCGAGCACCCCTCCGAACACCATGTGAAAAGATATCAAGATTGGTGGACGCGTTGTTGTGTTTCAGGTTCTGTATGCCAACATGTTTTGGCAAGCGTGCGATCGCTTTTCAGCAAGAACATGCGTTTAAAATCTAAATCCCACGTCCATTGAGCTCCTTCCGTTGAGTTCAGGTTGGGTTCCATTGGCTTCCGTCCCAGCATTGAACGCCCAGAATTTAGCCAATTTTTTTCACAATTCCACCCGCCCACACACTTTGTTTCTCAATTTTCTTTGATTTGGAGTCTTTCCGTTGACTTCCGTTGAACTCCCACTGGGTTCCATCCCGGCCTTTAACGCCCAGAATTTTGACGAGCCAGGCACACTGTTTTCCTATGTTTTTTAGTTTTATTCGATTTGGAGTCTTTTCTATTGAGTTCCGTTGAGTCCGCTGACTTCCGTTGAGTCCCGTTGAGTTCCCATTGGGTTCCGTTGAGTTCCTGTTGGGTTCCACTGGCTTCCGTCGCAGATTTTGACGTCTGAGTTTCAGGGAGTTTTTTGACCAGTTCGCCCCTCCACACACTTTTTGCAAATTGTTTGAAGCTTTTTGCTCGGAGCCTTTCCGTTGGCGCCGTTGAGTTCCGTTGACTTTCGTTGAGTTTCGTTGAGTTCCCATTGGGCCCACTTCTCTGCGTGAAGGTGAGTTGGCCATGCTGGACATGCGAGAAAACAGTAACACTGTCCGAATCGACGAAGTCACGAAGATGATCACCCCTCTCGCTGTCGGTCAGCAAGTCGGACTCAGGTGGGAGGACCGCCCGGAGGACACTCAGGTGCTGCGGCTTGGAGAATGAGACGACCTTTCGTGGCTTGCTTTGGGCAGATCGCTCGAGCGCCGCAGCTTTCTCCATCCCTCTGGTATAGGACAACGCAAGAACCCCTTCGCCTTCACCAACAAAGCTGATGTGGTGCTGGCTGCTCAGCAAGACGCGGAAAGACTCATGCAGCTGGAAGGATGTCATCATGAAGATGGCCAGACACAGTAGCAACGCCGTCGAAGCATACATTGAGGATGCAATGAGTGGAGGAATGCCCCGACATGGCCACGATTCTTACCCATCAAAGGCAAGTACAAGCTGCCCTGACCCCCTGTCGCAAGGACCTCGATGAGCTCGAGCGTTGCTGCCCTAGCGAACTTGAACTCAGAGGTGAGGCGAACGTGGGGCAATATTCGGCCCGACTACATGCGCAACACCTTGACGAACAAGGACCATTATTCCACCCAGGCTTGCCTGTTCTGGGAGATGCCATCAAAATGGGCGACCAAATGTGGATGGAAGTGGGACGCTTCTTCCAGGAACGTCGCATATGGACGACGGCGAGCTGAACAAGTTCACGCTGAAGTGTTTTGAGGTCCGACGCCTACTTTCCCTATAGCAACATGAAGGCGAGTGGAAGAAAGGAAGAGTGGTAGGTTGAGTGGATTGTTATTTGAGGAAGTTGTTGTGCATTGGAGTAGCTAGGACACGCCGAAGTCTGTGTCGGAAGGCCTGGAAGAGGGCACAGGAATGGCATCATTACGAGGTGCGTGTCAGGCGCGTGGGAAGGGTGTGTGCCTTAGGTGCAACCATGCTCCTTTCTCCACCATCCAGAGAGTCAAAAGTGGGGGTCTGTTTATGCTAACTTGTTATTGCGGAACAAATTTCACTTATGTGTAATAACTTGTGCATAAACTTGATGGAGTGGTCGAGCTGTGGGTTGAGTCGATTGCCCCCTCATGTCCATTTTGGCTCAAGTGCCAGAGGACAGGGGGGGAGCGCCCCGTACCTCCTCGAAAACACCCCCGCCACACCTTTGTAAGTAAAAGTTCCACACCTGACCCGTCACAGGGTAGGCTGTGACATGGTAGGTTGAGTGCATGGTTATTTGAGGAAGTTGTTGTGCATGGGAGTAGCTAGGACACGCCGAAGTCTGTGTGTCCCGGCTCCTGCACGTGCTGTCGGAAGGCCCGGAAGAGGGCACAGGAAAGGCATCATTACGAGGCGCGTGCGAGGTGCGTGGGAACAGTGTGTGTCTTAGATGCACCCTCTCTTCAACCGTGCTCCTTTCTCCACCAACCTGAGAGTCAAAAGTGCGCCTTCCTTGCTGATAGGGTTAGTAGGGTGGGGTCTGTTTATGCTAACTTGTTGTTACATCCTACGAATTCTCAAGTCAAGGCCCTTTGCGCAGAATCCGCAAAGCTGTAAGTCAAACAAAGCCTGTTGGGTTTAGTTGTCCTATTGAGCCCCAAGCGAAAATGCTGCCGAATCATGTGCAAGAAGGCTCTACCACTTGGTGCTCGTCGACCCAATTGACATGACAAAATGTCTGGGAACTTCATGCCCAATTCTCCTTGAAAGAAATCCATTAGGAGTGCACCTAGGGGGTTGTCGAAGCCGGGCAGCAAACCACTTAGATGCACAAAATGCACGTCTCAGAGCCGAAGGGTCTCAGCAACCGAACCGAGATTGCTGAGAGCCGAAAGGCCTTAAAAATCGACAATTGGCACGGGAACACGAGATTAGCAAAGTAGTGGCTGAAGTGGCAAATGGAGGATGGCTCGAATCCTTCACTCACCGAGATACAGGTCCTTTCGATCGTGCTGCGGCTGTCAATCAGTAAGACTTATCACCTACAGCCTAGGCATTGATTTTATGAATCACGCAATTTGCACATTAAGGTTCACAAAACTCCGTGCCTAGAGCGAAAGTGTAGTGGGGATCTATTTTTAATCCGTTTTTGTTCATTTTTGTTCCCCTTGGAACTTTTTTGATGCCGATCCTTTTTACTCTTTTATCCGTCATCCCTCACTGAAATGTTGAAATCTCCGACATTCAAAATTCACTATGCTGTCAAGAATCTATCAGTGCTCAATCTCAAATGCTGCATTTGAAGACTGAAACATGCAATCTTCACCCAAACTGCACTTGTTTTGACATATCAGCGAGCAAGGAGTACCTTTCAGGTGTTGAAGATGGACATGTAACGAACGGGGCGATGGTTGGCAAAACAATTCTGCCTAAACTCTCGAGAAATATGTATATATATATATAATATATACAGTTGACATGTAGTGGGCGAAGTGTTTATGAAGTGATGCTTGATGTGTGTTGGGATGATGAACTGGAGAGTGCTTTGTTTTTTTCTATCCGTGATATGTCCGTTTTGCCTTTATATAATTAAGACATGCGGCTTTCGAGAATTGGGCATACCTTCATAGTCCATTCAACAGTTGTTTGCTATGTTGAGGCCTTCCCGACTGCAGCGTGTTTAAAGAAATGTTGCTGCAGGCAAAGTTTGTGGTGGGTGGCAAGATGTGGATGTGCTGTGTGAAACTTGCAGATGAGGGTTGCACAACATGCCACAACAGGTCAAGGAAGTCAATGGTCGAAAAAGTTTGCTGCCCAAATTCTAAAGTGAACGTTTGAACCCGAGGCCTTGACTCAAAGCCATACAGCAGCACTCCTCCTTCTTGTTTGTTTGCAGCAGTCCATGCCTGCTATTTTCCCAAACTTGTTTTCGTTCAGCCGTGTTTTGAGTTGGAAGCAGCAAATTTGCATTGCAGCCATGCGACAAACAGCTTATCTATTCCGAAAGCACTTTGCTGGCTCAAGCTGAGACAACCTTTGTGTGCACGACAGAGAGGCGGGAGTGCGCCTTGTGTTGCTGTGTGCATGTAATCAACCATGACCTTGTGCACCTAGATAATGCCAATGTACTTCGTGCATCCTCAGGTCTCAATTTGCGCCGAAGTCATGGGCAACATCATCTCATGCGGTGCCGCAAAATCTTCGGCGACATTGGCAGATGAAGTCCTGGGCCGCAACATCTGTCATGATGCAGGAGAATCAGCCGGGAAGGTGGCAATTTGCCAGGTGAGCGAAGGCAGTTGGATGCCTACACCTACAGGCCCTACCGTTGCATTCATCCTTGGTATCGGTGTTCAAGCACTCTTTCGTTTGAGCAACATGGGTTGCCGGAGATTGTGGAGGCCTGTACAAGATGACTATGATTGCATCATCCGGATTGTGTCCTTGGCCGACTTTGAAAAGAGCAAACGCATTTGGCTGTTGAGATCCCTTTACACAGACTTTGATCCAAGCATGGGTGTGGACGTTCGCGTCATCTCAGTAGTTGGATTGTTCAACAAGGGGAAAACCTTCTTGCTGAACAAACTCTTTGGCCTTCGATTGCCATCAGGCAGAACACAAGTGACCCAAGGCTTGTCATGCGTGTACGTAAAAGATCGCAAGATGCTTCTCATTGATTCGCCAGGTGTGCAATCCACAGTGTCGTACAGGTCTGACAGTGTCGACAGAGTGGTAGATGCTCAAAGCACGGAAACATTCATTTTCGAGCTTGTCTCTCAGATCTCCGACCACGTGATCTTTGTTGTGAATGAATTCACAAATTTCGAGCAGGCCAAGGTTCAGAGTTTTGCGAAGAAGGAGAAAGACCGTTCTGAACCTGCTCCTCGTGAGCTCATTGTTGTTCACAACTGCCGAGGCCGAAAAAACATTCGAGACGCAGATTACTAGATGCTATGAGGGGGTTCCAAGCCACCTCGGCAAGTTGGTGTACACAGCCCGAAAAAGTCCTCCTGTTCACCACTATGCGATTTGCCAAGATAGAAGTCCAGCTGGAGAGACTTTCAACCACAGCAACTTCCGGCTTCTTTTAGATCACCTGGAGCATGCAAAGAAATTGCCTGAGAGAATCGTGTTGCAAGAACTCATCACCACAAAGTTTGACGACTTCATTCCCAGATTCTTTTTGAAGGCTCCTCTTGAGAGCAAAGTCGAGTACCGTGAGCACGAGACTGAGGAGCGCATGGAGACCATTTCTGAGGAAACCGATCTGGAACAAGGTGACCGAAATTACCAGCGCTTGGGCTGCTTCCGGATTGATTGCGAGAAGCTCGAAGTGAAGCGACAAGGTGTACTTTCAGAGCAAGGAGAGGTCACTTCTTTTGACATTACATTCAACCCAAACCCAGCGGTCTTTGACAAAAAACTTGGTGATGGATATCTCTGGCGGACGATTCAAATTGAGTGCCCAGGGGTGAGGGAGGAACAGGTACAGTGGGAGCAGACAGGCGACGGTCTCAAAGTGAAAATTGAGAAATCCACATTGGTGGATGAGGGAGCAGTCATACCCATGGAGGGCTATCCCCTACGCCAGCAGTCTGGCCGTTGGCAGAAGACTTTTGAATTCCGCGATGGACCTTTTGAACTCATTGAGGAAGAATGCTCTTTGCAGTATGGAGTGTTGAGGCTGATTCTAAAGAAGAGCTTGGTGAACAAGTGTGGCGGGCTGAGAAGCTTCCAAGCATCCCAGGTTAAACCGGCTGCATCCCCCTTACCGTCTTCCCTTCCCTCCGAGGCTGGGGGTGCGTGCCAGGCTCAAAACCCGGATGCCCATCCAAGCGCTCAAGAGTCCGCTGCCATGCAAAGTGGGCTGGCCGCGGATTTGGGGAATCATTGTCTCACCAGCACTTCCTGGATTCTGACGGATGAGGGTCCCAGGAGCGCGGTCGAGGTTGCAAAAGGTGAAGTTGCAAGTGTCACCTCTGTTGCCTTGGAGCCAGAGGCCACTGCAGAATGCCCAGAGCCAAAAAACGGCTCGTCCCCCGCTTGAGCGGGGGCGCTACCGTGAAGTATGCACGCCTAATTAGCGGAGTCCGACAAAGGCTCATTGCATTTTTTTTGGGATGGTGGGGAGTTGCGTGTCACGGCTGACCATGCCTTGCTGGTTCGGGAACACATGTCCTGCTCTTGGCGAGTGGTTGAAGCATGCAAGGTAAAGCCAAGGGATGAAGTGCTTGTCTACAGCTGTGGAGAAGTCTTGACTCCAAGTAGCACGCCTGTTTTGAATGTGGAAGAACGGGAGGAGCTGGAGGATGTCATTGAGATTGAGATGGCCTGTCCAGCAGATACCGTACTCGTTTGTAGCAGCCCTGGCAGGCCTTATGTGGTGGTCTTTGGAAAGCAGCCCGATCTTCGTAACTTCGATGTTCTGCTCATGCTGCTCTCGCGCCAACCAAAAGAACTGGATGAGGCTCTCGGGACAAGCCAGAGCCTGCGGACATGTAGCTTGGCCTTTCCAAGGTGCAAAGGTTGTCATTGCATCTCTAGCACAAGCGACAAGATGGAGGCAAACTCTTGCATCAGCTTTTTCAGACGAATGTGTCTTATTTTCTCACAACCTTGATGTTTGGCATGGATGATGACCCTTTCTGGTATCTGAGGTCAGTATTTGGCTGGAGATTCTGAGCTACAAAGTGGGGCCAAACTCTACCTGGAACCGCATCATGTCCGTGGAGTCAATCATTTGATTCGCCATGGAACTCTAAGGCCGCCTAGTACGGGGCAGGTTTTGCCCGGAAAGTGTTTGGACATGGATCAGAGGGAAGGGAAGACTTGCACAAATGTACGCACACATCATCCATAAGAATGCTAAAGTTGATACCGCTTAGCAAGCAAAGACTTTGTTGAATGTACATATTGGCCTTTGGTCTGACCATTGTCATGATGTGGAACCTGTCAAGAAAATGCCTGAACTTAGGACCCGGCACCCAGCTCCACACAATATATACTGTAATGGGAGCAACCTTCGGCATTCCAGAGCAGACGCAAGTTCACAATGACATGGGTCGGTTTAACTAAGTTACGTGCTCAGGCGGTCCTACGTCAGTAGTCTGTCAAATCCCAGTGACGTTTTGACTTCTCCTTTCGTATTGCTTCCAGGTTCAGCCCAAGGGGGAGGCACATCATTTTGAGCGCTAGCTATGAGGAGGAGATCAGGCGAGTTGTAAAGTCTCTACGAAAGAAGGACAACGTGAAGGTCACCTCTTGCAGGAAGCTTGTGGATTGCATCGACCTGTATGAGCCATCGTGCAATGAGAGGCTTGTCACGCTGAATACATTTTTGGCCATCGAGCCTGTACCGAGTGTGGTAGAGACCACAGTGTCCACCACGGATGCTCGAAGTGCTACAATGCATCAAAACCCACGGTAGCAGGCCGCACGCCGCCTCAAAACCATCCTTTCTCCGAGCTTTTGCAGACTCCATGACTGTATAGCTGAGAAATGTAGCACCAGCACCAGGTTGGAGCAGTTCAACAACATCATATAAGCGTCATTAAACTACCTAGGACCTAGGGCCACTACCTATTTGCTGTCATTGTTTTGCTGCTTGTCTTTGTTGGACGCCTTTGTCAACTTGATGCCGGAAGCCTCCTGAAGGGGGAGACTGCCCCCAGAAAGGAGATGTGAGTTGATAATGACTGTGCGCTTGCAAGTGTATGTTGACTGGCATAGATGGATTTTGTTTCGATTTTTGTCGAGGAAGGCTCACGACTCACATCTTTTTCAGTTATTATTTCCTAAAATCCCATGGAATGGCCAACGTGGCTGCTTTCCAGTTGATCAGCGCAATTCCTCTGCAGTGCTGCTTGGGGTTCGCAGGTCAGCGCTTACATTCCTTACAGCCCGTGTTCCTTGGCCCAACTCGCGTGAAACAAGGGACATTCGCATTGGAGTTCCGCTTGCGGCTGTGGACTTTGCAGGTTACGAATCATGCATGGATCCTCGCTTGTTTGACATGCATGTAGTCACATGTAGTGGACAGATGTGGAAAGTCTATTGCACTTGTGAGCATGTTGCTATATGACGCATCCTTTAGTCATTGCTTATGGGCCGGGCTCTTTTAGCTGCAGAACACAACGATTTGGGAGGGAGTTTGGACATTGAAGTCCATGGCTACGGTTCCAAGCTCAGATCTCTTGAAACGACAAGACCTGAAAGCCAGCAATTCTGTGCAAATCAAAGGTTCAAAAGAGCAACTAATACAGCAAGAACAAGCTTGGGGTTGAACTTGAATTTCCATCAGAATCTAGAATTAGAAACATCTAGAAACTTGTTTTTGCTGTGTCGTACTGCATACTATAGTTGCTTCGTGCTATTGTAATAGCTTTAGTTGTTTCCCCGCTTTTTTCCATTCTGCCTAGCAACCGATCAAATAGAAACAATACCAAATTTTGCAAAGAAGATGAGCTGCATTTGATTTGAATCAGAACCTGTGTTGCTGCTGAGTCAGGCAGTTCAGCAGCTGAAGGTGCCTCAGGCACAGTTTCGTCCCTCTTGGTACACGAGTGGGGCTCAGCGGGCCAAATGGCAGACTGCGTGTTTTCCGCCAGCTTTTTGTGGATTGGTGACAAATGTGTGACAAATGCATTGTGCGAGTTTGTTGCAACTTAACATCAGTATCGTTATATAAGTTATATAGTATTGCCAGCAACCAGTACTGTGCAACTTCGGCATGGGCTTGAGTTCTTTGGGTATGATGGGGCCTTCAGGTAAGGTAAGACAAAGGCTGGGAGAACATGTTGAGGAACGAAGACACGAGAAGATGAAGAGGCAAACGGTTTAGGCAAGTTGAAGAGGCAAATATGATGAGGCCAGACAAGACGAGACACCGTCAAGTGAAGAGGGGCAACAAGCATGTTGAAAGAATCAACGGGACATGACATTTGGACTTTGCGATCTTTGCGCAAGCAAAGCAGCAAGTGTTTGTTCCTTGTGTTAAAGCAAACTAGATTCCCCCCCGAAAAGTGGTAAGATTTGGTAGTTTAGGCCATGAGGGATGCTGAATGAGTCCATCTCCACGCCATGTGAGGTTGACTGACGGGTGGTCTCTTCAAGTGTTTGCCGACATCGACCCAAGAGAAGATCTGGTTGTCATTCGTTTGGAGCTGATTCAATTTGTTTGGATTTCCCTCCATCCAAGGCCCATAGAACAAGGAATCGTACTCCCCGAGTTCATAGATGGCAGTGACCCCAGTGGCTCTGGTTGCAATGTCTACTGCCATACTTTGGTCAACACTGAGGTGCCAGTGTAGGTGGAGCACCGTCCAGGTTCTATCACTATGCTGCTCAGTCCTTAGCCGATCAACTCTCCAGGGTCACAGCCTAGCCAAGTGGTGAACAGAGAAATTCCGATATCCGTTTCCAGTCACATCAAGCTCTCGGCACATCCGAATGGCTCTAAGAGTGCTTCTTTGACTCGAGGATGCCACTGAATCGAGCAACAGCGTGACCCCGGAGATTCGGAAGTTCCTGCAGGCTTGTCGAACCGATGTGGAGGAGGCGAGCCCTGAAGCCTTTACCTTTCCACCTGGGTCTCATCCAGATCTCTTCTGATAGACTCACCAGCTGATTGATCAACAGGCAAACACGACATGTACCGTACAACAGTTTTCAGCAGAGCTTCAGAGAAGGGCATGCGCATGCTGAATCCCATGCTGAAGGTTCGGGCACTTCTGGATGCTGGAGCTGATGTCTACCAGGTGCTTTGACAAACTTCATGACCTGCCCTTGTTTCAGTTTCAGTGCCACTTTGCCTTCTATATGTCCGATATCCCTTGTGAAAAAGCATCCGACAAACGACATCTGAAAGACCAAGTTCCAGTTGCAAGTTACAAACCCTGATGATGTTGCTGACCGTAGCTATATACGCTTCACCTCTGCCTGAAGGCGAATGCGAATGGCTTCTCAGGGCTACACATGGCTGTTTCAAACCTTCAGACAGATGTCGCGCAGGCGGGCTGAACGGCAGTGCTTGCACCCACAAATTAGGCAAGAGTCACACTCAGCAAGTGCCGCTGTCCCCTGCCGGTGTCCTTTGAGTGATTCAAGTGGAGACAAGTGAGTCCTGTTTGGTTGGACTCGGTTGGACCAAGTTCTGGCGGAGACAGATTTGCGATTTCTCTGAGAGTCGCTGTCGGCGGTCGCGTTTCACGCGACGTGGATGCATGTTGGGTGACACCAAGTGACCACCCTCTGTGCCAGCTTCTACTTGAGCGTGGCCACGATGTGAACGCCATGGGCTTGGACTGGTCTTGCAGCTTGGGGATTGAAGCTAGCAGTGGTGGAAACTGTCAGATTCAAATAAGATCTCTCAGGGAAATTCTGAGTCTCCTGGCCAGGAAACACACAAACTATATATAACTTGCGTAGCAAGTGCAACAAGCACGGAATGTGCGGCTGACAGGAGCCAATAGCAAGGACCCAAAATATAGGTGAACATAGCTCTGTAGACTGTTGGGCAATTCTTTCTGTGTTAAGGAGTGTACAAATGGGGATTGACTCCACAAGAACAACATCTTAAAGAATATGGATATACTGATATACTTGCAAGCCGACAACCCCCAATGGGGTAAAGAGATACGAGTGTTTGTTTTGTTCCTTTCGAGTCTAGAAACAAGTTTGAACAACAAGAAACAAAGAAAGATCTATATAAAGGTCAACAGTTTAGGCCTTAATTTCTTGTTGTTCACACTTATTTCTTTTTTTCGGTACTTCTTTCTTATGAAGCCAAGTTGTGCTACGCATGAGAGGAGGAGTTGAAGTGAGGGTGTTTTGTGACGCATCGGCATCGGGACTTCACCAGGTCATGGAGGCCAACGGCTTTACGCCAGGGAGCCTCAGTCTCCAAACTCCAAGTTGGGTCTGGGCCGTTTGGGTCGCCGGGACTTCATGTCATCCATTCGTCAGCTGTGGTTTGTGAAGGCCCTTAGATTACTGCGTGGATGCTGGCTTTTCAGCAGCTGAGATTGGTGGTGCGGACCTTGGTGCTTGTGTGGTGGAGTGCAGTTGCAGCATGAACTTGCTCATCGAAATTCTGCAAGAAGAGCAGTCGGTAGATGTTGTCAAGCAATTGACAAACGCTTGGGTTTGTACTGTATATTGATGTGTGTTTTAGAAGCATTGCTTTCCAAAGATCCTAAAGGAACTGTGGAACAGCATAGTACCCAGCGTGTCCTGCACTGGGATGACATGCTTTGGTGATTCGAATCCTTGTTTTTGTCTGCAGCCGTGTCATTGTCCAAGCTTGAACTGAGTCTATGCAGATATGCCTGAGAGTGTCCAGGGCAGTGAAGAAAATTCTTGCTTGGAACAGTACCTTTGAGACTGAGAAAGCGGATGTGAAGTACAGAGTTTTTACAATCAATATCCCCTGCGCTGTTTGCAATGCCGCGACCCAATGTGTCGGCAGATCAACGCGATGCAGCTCGGTGTTGGCTGTGCTGGGAGCGCTTTCCTATTGGTTCGTTGTTTCTTTGTTCCATGCTCAAAGCAGTTTCTTTGCCGATCAACACGACCATGAACCCCAAGAACAAAGGGCTTTCTTTGTGCAAAGTCCTGTGTTTAAGTTGACCACTCTTCCAGCTATGACTTTTGGCAACATCCACTAGATGCAAATCAAAGTCGGGTCATGGAGTCTTTGGGTCACTCCCTGTCTCATGAGAGCTTGGCACCCACAAGTTCAAGTCTTGACCCGCTTCTAATTGATGCCGTGTTTATTGGACGGGTCTATATGTTTGCAAACGGCCTTTCGGCGATGTTCGACTGAGGCAGATGAGACTGACACGAAGCCAACGGCCAAGGACAACAATGACATGGTAAATGATTCTTTTAATTTGAGTACCCACAAAAAAAGCGCTCAAATTATTTTGTAGAGAGAGAGAGGGAGAGTACATTCAGGCAGGTGGACAGGCAGCGATGTGTCTGCACGCCAGCGTATACATCCTGTGTCAGGAGTTGGTTGACAGCTTTCAGAGCCACATCCACGGTTTGACGGCAGTGCCAAAGTCCCAGAGCACTAGCAGTAGCGGCAGAGCCAAGGTCTTGCACTAGTTAAGTTTCCCTAAAAATCCAGGAACCAAGTCATTAGCGCGAGCTATCCTGCGTCCAGTTGGTAGTAGCTACTTAAACTACTAGCTACCTCTAGCTACTACTTCTACGGCCTACCCCCCAATTCTTTTTTGTTTTGGTCCGTTTCATGATTCCGCCTTCATGAGCGTTGTGCCCCGATTCCATCGATTTGATGGCTGTGCTTGCATCTCCGGCGCGTGAGCCAAGTGCTGCGGTCGCTCAGGTTCAATCAGCTGCTCTGCCAGTCACCGGATTTCGAGAAGATGTCCTTTGAAGCAGTCTGTGCACACCAGGCACTTGGCG